TTTTTTTTTTTTGGATTAACTTACTTCCATGAACTGCCCGTATACTTTCCGCTGTAAATGCAATAGCAATAAATAAAGAAAACATTTCTTCAGCGGACCTGAAAAAGGAAAAAAATTTAGAAGAGATTAGCAAAATCAACTTTTCCTTTTCGTTCCACTTGCTTTTTTCATTGTTATATAGATTGTTTACTGCTGTTGTTGTTTTTGATCAAATGATCTACTGATAGAACAGACTAACAAATATTCGACTTTACTCAAAAACACAGATTTATTATCAATGCTTATCAATAATGTGATAAATGACATTTATCACTTTTTAACCATCTCCTTCTACAGTAAGAATTTTTTTTTTTGCCGTTGTTCCAAAAAATCGTGATTTTTGAACCACATAAACCAGTCAGTACTATTTGGACACTACGAAACGGCTATCATACGTAGAGCGGAAAAACTTGGAAAAAAATGAAACAGAAAATTTGAACGACAAACCTGGTGGCCAATTTCATCAGGCTACAAAGTTCGGTGGATGCATAAATCATAAGAAAAATTTGGCACCAAAGTCCAACACAGCAATAGAGAGCAAAAAAATCGTAACCAAAATCTACTGATATTCTATATATTACTGAAAAAAACCAAATGTGTATTTTTTTTTGCAAAAAAAAAAATCTGGAAACAAAACGAGGAAAAGAAATTAATCCGCTAAAAATATCAAAATTGTTTTTTTTTTCTTTGCAAAAAGAAGCACTTTTTGCTCTAAACAAGTAACGGTCTTAAAGAAGACATCAAAAAATAGACTCAACTAATTGTTCGTTTGACAGCTTTACAATAGTTAATTATCTAAAGTTTTTAGTTTTCAAAATTTCAAAAATTTTTAATTGCATTATCAGTTGTTAATTGATTAATGCTAAAATTTTGATAAGACTACCTTTAATATATATAGCCAATGGAACTGTTGTATGGATAATAATCATCGGTTGTCCACCAAATATTGCCCAAATTATACCACCAAAACCTTGAGCGAATATTAACTTACGAACATCTGTAAACAGTTACCTGTCAATTTGTATTATTACTTTGGTACTTTTATAAAAAATAAGAATGCAAAAAAATAAAAACATATTTTACTACCTCAAAATTGTTATCTTTATTCAACACAAAACTTCTGCTGCTGTTATTCCAGTTCACCTATTTCTTAATAGATGTAATAGTTTCTTAAACAGAAATCCTTTTTTAAGTATTAATTATACAATTGCAAAATAGTGTGTCAATTATCAAAGAAACCAATTACAGCTATTGACCTATTTACCAAGAAATTGCAGTATAACATTTTTTTTGGGAGGAGGGAGGAAAAAGTTGCGGAAAACCTATAACTATTGGCTTTATTCTTGCTAATATTTATTAATGACGTAAAGTCATTTACAGTTGATTGGAAAAACACTAAAAGCACAGACAAACGTTCATTCTTACCAATATTTCCCTTAGTGTTATCATCATTAAGTACCCCAAACGCAATTGCTGGAAGAAGACAAGCAAAATACAAGAAGACAATTGTACTAAATAATTTCTGTATTGTTTTCGGTCCACGAAGACCTAAAAAAAATAAGAGGGAAAACGTTTTGCTTTTACACAAATTGACAGAATTTTTTTTACATCTGATCAAACAACAAAACGCCGTTCTATGTACACCAATTTTTATATTATTTGATATTCTTACCGTCTAGGTAGTCAGATGCATAATATTTTAAACGACGTTTGAAATCTTCTTTAAGGCCACGAAATGGATACCATTTACCTGGACCAAACTAAAAATTGTTGTTTTTTTCTTTCATTATTAATTTGAATTCTAAGAATCATTGTAAAATATAATAATCATTTAG